AGGGTGTTGGGAGCTGGAAGAACCCGCAAATTTTCTACAAGAGGCTGGGACCGAGTTACAGCAACTGACAGACATGTTGCCTGCTTCCAGAGTAGGGATTAATAGATGCTTTTTCTCTTTTCTTTTCAACCCCAATCAGGGAAGAAAAGAAACCAATGTTCATTGAAAACCTACTGTGTGCCGAGACCCTTCCATATGTCAGCTCCTTTCACAGAAGGTGATCGGATCCGAAAGAGGAAACTGTAATGACGGGGGAGGAGGGGACCTGGCTGTGTTCTTGAAAGCAGTTTCGCATTCCCAGGAGAAAATACCAGCGAGTCAGGGCTTCAGATGCTGACATCCTCCAAAATTTCATGGTCAGGCAGTCCTCACTATGCAGCGGACGCTGCTAAGTACTTGCAGAATGGATGACCTCCAAGGTCTCTTCTGACACAGGTTTCTGTGATCCTATAAATAACAGAACCAAGGGCAGCAGAGCCATCCAGAGCACCTGAGAGAAGCACCTGTTCTGAGCAAGTGCCGCCCACAGGCGAGGCGACACCTCACAAGGGGGCGGTGCTGAGCTCGGTCGGGAAAGAGGGCCAGTGGCACAATGAAATCCAGCGCCCTTGTGGCTCTGGGAACGGAGTTCCCGCATAACGGAGGTGGCTGTTCTGCCCCCAAACTCCCCGCAAATCGTCCCACTGTTGGTGTGCAGCTGGTGGCCATGGAACGGCTCAGGCCGCCGCTCTGGGTGCCCTCGCTCCTACCTGTCTGTCCACGCACAGGTGACACTGAGGTGCGGGTCCCGGGTCCCTCTCGGCACACCTGCCCCAGAGCCAGAGGGGATGCGGCCAGGCCCGGCCTTGTCACCCACTGACTATCCCACCCACCTTGCGATGCGGCCCGGTCCGGCTTGGCCCCGGGACCCCAACGATGAGCCAGGCCTGGTCCCCGGTCCTCAGAGCGTGGCACCCTGGCGGCCCACACACAGAAAAGGACCCGCGTAACCCCCAGAATCGAGCAACGCCGAGATGATGCACCAGGACTCCGGCCCAGCCGTGCCTTTGGCAGTGGGTGGGGCTGACACGCAAAGCCTTTTCCCTGAGAGGAAGAAAGGGCCTACTGTTTCTGGAAGAATGAAGAATGGGTCTGAATACAGGTTTTTTCTGGGATGAACAGCACCAACTGCTCTCAGGGGAAGGAGAGGCCTTCCAAATCCTTCCCCAAAAGGATCATGACAAAAGCCTGGATGGGACCCAGAACTTGCCGTGTCCTGGTGTGGAATGGCAGCCACCACCTTCCCTTAGTGGGGGGCCTGTGCGCTGCGGGCCGGCCGCGGTTCACTTGGATGCTGAGTCTGCTGTGGCCTCTGCTCACAGCGACCTCAAGTCCCTTCCACACCTGCATGTCTAGTCCATGGTTTGGGAGGGACAGCTGGCTGACAAGCACCAATAAGAGGCTCAAGGTTGTGGACCTGATTGGCCAGGCCAACAGACAGAGGCAGGACCCAGGCCCTAGACCTGCCCGAGGTCTGAGGTGCAATTACCCACGCACCAAGACTCAGCCCCAAAGGCTAAAAACATCTGACCGATCGGCCACCTTGGTTCGGATCAACATTTGGGACGAAAGGCCTAAAACAGAGCAGTGACTGCTATCTGTGTCCTATGTCCCAGTTCTCACGGCAGGAAACTTGCCTCCCCCCCACCCCCACCTCTTCCCTGAGCGCTGATCACAGTAATTAAATGACTAAGGTCCCTACATGCCCACTACCCTGGGCCTCCTGCTCCCTCACGGGACACCCCCTTTTGCAGGACAGGCCCTGTCACGGTTCTCGTGCCGCAGGGGTAAAGTGGGAGCCCTGGGTGGGCTCTACAAACACCAGGAGGCCAGGCACCATAGGAGGGGTGGCCCAAGATCCTCGGGCTCCGTCTCTGAATTCCGGCAGTGTCCCATGGCCCAGGTTTCCAATTCCCACTCTGTAAGGGACCCCGCACCGAGCCCGAATTGGCTCCACTGTGCAGCCAGGGTGTCGGCCCCCCTGCACCCATGTGATTCCTCACACACCACTGGCACGTCCAGCTCACTCCCCACCACACCGTCCTGGCCCTTCAGGAGCCGCAGAGCTGTCTGATACAGTGGTTGACACTTTGACAAATTACTGAAAGCCCAGCTAATAGGACTAAAGCACTTTCTCTAAGAAAAGTGGTTTTATCTGTATTTACGCCCAGTATATCCTTGGATAACAGCTGACAGAAGGGTAAGCCCAGCTCAAGGACAGCAGATGAAGTGACAGCGTCTACAGATAGAATAAAGCGGGTCAGCTTGACTGGCCACCCCTATCAGAGAATCCTGGCAAGAATCAAGGGGATGCCAGCTCAAAAGCATAGAGAATCGGGGCGCCAACTCTGGCTCTCGTCATGATCTCATGGTTCATGGGTTCAAGTGCCTGTGTCGGGCTTTGAGCTGACAGCTCAGAGCCTGGAACCTGCTTCAGATTCTGTGTCTCCCTCTCTCTCTGCCCTTCATCTGCTTGCACTCTGTCTCTTTCTCTCTCTCTCAAAAATAAATAAACATTAAAAACAATTTTGGGGCACCTGGGTGGCTCAGGTCATGATCTCACAGTTTGTCAGTTCGAGCCCCACATCAGGCCCTACGCTGACAGCACAGAGCCTGCTTCTGAGCCTCTGTCTCCCTCTCTCTCTGCCCCTCCCCCGCCTCCACCCAAGGAAACAAAACCACTAATTCAAAAAGACGCACTCCCACGTTTACTGAGTGTGATTTACCACAGCCAAAAGCACGGAGGCAGCCCAAGGGCGCATCCACAGACGAATGGGTAAGGATGCGGTGCGTGTACGCGATGGAATGTCACTCAGGCATGAAAAAAGGAATGAGGTCTTGCCATTTGTGACAATGATCTAGAGAGTATGGTGCGAACTGAAATAAGTCAGAGAGAGAAACGCAAATACTGTATGATCTCACTTACATGTGGAATGTGAAAAAACAAATGAACAGAAAACAGAGAACAAACTCATGGTTGTCAGAGGAGAGGCAGGTGTGGGGGGGTGGGACGAAATGCATAAGGGCAAGCAGGAGGCCCAACCTTCCAGTTAGAAAATAAATAAGGCATGCGGATGAAAAGTGCAGCACAGGGAACAGTCAACAATACTGTCAAAACGTTGTTTGGTGACAGGTGGTGACACTTCTGCTGAGCACGAAGTAACGCGTGGAGTCAGTGAGCCAGTATGTCACGTACCTGAAACTCACGCAACATCGCATGTTGATTACACTTCAATTAAAAGAAAAAGACGGTCTCAGGACAAGTTGTGGCCATAAAACAAAACAGGAGGCATAAATGTGAGGTACTTCAAAGGCAGATTCTTTTGACCAACTAAAAAGGGAATGCGTTTCTACTTTTTTTTCTTTTTTTAGCCCAAATGATTGGGAATGAAAATGGAGAGGTGGTTTAGAGGGCAAATAGGGGAATTCAGCTTCAGATACACTGACTTTCTTTCTTTTTTTTAATAAGTGACTTTATTTGTTTACAATTTTTAAGTCAACTCTACGTCCAACGTGGGGCTTGAACTCATGCCCCCAAGAGCAAAAGTTGCACACTCTAGGGGCGCCTGGGTGGCTCAGTTGGTTGAGGGTTCGACTTCAGCTCAGGTCATGATCTCACAGTTCATGAGTTCGAGCCCCGTGTCGGGCTTTGTGCTGACAGCTCGAAGCCTGGAGCCTCCCTTGGATTCTGTGTCTCCCTCTTTCTCTGCCCCTCCCCTGCTCATGCTCTGTCTCTCTCTCTCTCTCTCTCTCTCTCTCTCTCTCTCTCTCAAAAATAAATAAACATTAAAAAAAAAAAGAGTTGCACACTTTACTGACTGAGCCAGCCAGGCGCCCAGACAGACTGAATTTCTGGTGCAGCAGATAATGTAAATTGTAAAACTGTCCAGTGGGATGAACAGAGATTAAAAACAAAACAAAAAAAAAAAAATCACAAAGCATCAAATCTACTTTTTTTGTTAACTTGGTGATACTGCTGACATGCCTTCTTTATCCTGCTCCCATAGCAATGTGGCCAAAATATCAAGGAAGACAGCAGAATAATACAAGCATCCAGAAAAAAAAATGTATTTCAAGAAATACTACAAAATCTTATAATAAAATTCGACTTCCGGGAATAACACCACCAAAACCAGACTAGATATGACACCCAATGCTGGTAAGGGTGTAACACGCAGGCATTCTCGTGCGTGCTGGAAGAAGGGACTCTTCAGAAGGAATTTGGTCACGTCCATCATAAGCCATAGTTAATATCTCGGCCTATAATATTACTTTTGGGAATCCATCCTAAGGAAATATCCACAAGAAAGCACTAGGTATGTGCTGAATGAGTGAGAATATTTGTTGCATAAAGATGCTCATTAGGGGCGCCTGGGTGGCTCAGTTCGTTAAGCATCTGACTCCGGCTCAGGTCATGATCTCACGGCTTGTGAGTTCGAGCCCCGTGTCAGGCTCTGTGCTGACAGCTTGCAGCCTGGAACCTGCTTCGGATTCTGTGTTTTCCTCTCTCTTTGTTCCTCCCCTGCTCACACTCTGTGTCTCTCTCTCTCTCAAAAATAAATAAACATTAACAAAATTAAAAAAAAAAAAAAAAGATGCTCATTATCTGTAACAGTAAAAAACTGGAAGCTACTTACATATGCAACCAGAAGGGGAGAGATTGAGAACATTACGGAACCTCAGTGGAGCCATTACACGGGCATTAAAACACCAGTTACAAAGCCAATGTGGTAACAGGGAAATCTTTTTTTTTTCTTTTTTCACTTACCATAATTTTAAATGAAAAAAAAAAAAAAAAAAAAAAGCAGGCTGTGTGACTATACCAACGTCGTGATTTTAACAGCAGCATTTGCGTTAAGCATCAGGATCCGGTGCACCCTTTCTCCTCCACTCTCAAACCTATCTGCCTTTGATGAGAAGGAAGGAATGGAGGATGTTAAAATCAGCCTCCGGGGTGGTACCTTGGCTCCATCCACGCTGATGATGCGATAGCTGTTCCTGGTGACATCGTAGAAGTAGGAAACGGTGACCGCCTGCTTGCTTGCAGGCACCCAGTTCTTCTTGGTGCTGGGGTCGATCTGGAAGACGTGCGCCCGCGTGGTGAAGATAGGCTGTTCTCTGCGAGAGGAGAGAAGCGCGTGTGAGTTGAGGGAAGACGGCTTCGTGTATCGCTAGTGACTGCTGGCCCCCCCTGTGGCCCCCAGAGATTTTCATAGCTTATTGGCAAAGATACATATGCATGAGGACAATGAAAATAAGAGGAAAAAGAGACCCCAGCAGAGGAGGCACTGAATCCCCGCACACTGAGGCTTCAGGGCGACTGTCCTAACGAACAATTTGCCTTAAATGCCACTCCTAGTCCAGTGTTTTGCATCCTGCCGCAGGCCGGCTCTTTTTCTGACAGCCTGTTGGCCTCTTGGGGATTTTGCGACACATTTATTTTGGGGGATTCTGCCACCATTTTAGCATTCTGTAATCCACTTGCAGCTTGGTTGTTACATTTCTAGTGAGTACTTCTCAAATCCGCAGCATTTTATGAATGATGGCTTCATTCGTAATGGACTGAGTCTTCAAGTTTTGTTTCCAACTTATAAACCTTTTTTGAGTTTTAAAGTCATGAAACCCAGCTCTTTTGCTATTCTTGCCTCCGTATCACTGTTGTTGCTTTTTCCCTCTGCACGTCTGTAAATTTTTTTTTTTCAACGTTTATTTATTTTTGGAACAGAGAGAGACACAGCATGAACGGGGGAGGGGCAGAGAGAGAGGGAGACACAGAATCAGAAACAGGCTCCAGTCTCCGAGCCATCAGCCCAGAGCCTGACGCGGGGCTCGAACTCACGGACCGCAAGATCGTGACCTGGCTGAAGTCGGACGCTTAACCGACTGCGCCACCCAGGCGCCCCGCACGTCTGTAAATTTTTAATGTGATTCTTTGCATGTTTTTTTTTTAATCTTTATTTATTTTTGAGAGAGAGACAAAGGCAGAGCGTGAGTGGGAGAGGGGCAGAGAGAGAGAGAGACACACACACAGAATCTGAAGCAGGCTCCAGGCTCTGAGCTGTCGGCACGGAGCCCAACGCGGGGCTTGAACCCACGCACTGCGAGATCATGACCTGAGCCGAAGTCAGATGCCCAACAGACTGAGCCACCCAGGCGCTCCTAACGTGATTATTAACCAAATGAGCACACTATCCAGGTTTCTTTCTGACAAGTGGGGAATTAATTCGATCTGGACAATAAGCATCAAGAAATAAGGCAGATGGATAAAAACCATAATGTATTATACTGCAATTCATATTTTAAGGTATCTGCCTCACAAAGTAAGGTAAAAATCAAACACAGCCTCATTGCAGAATATACCTAATTTTAAAGAAACGGTCTTCAGGCAAACTGGCTCAAAAATCCTTAAGGTGTTCAGGGGCGCCTGGGTGGCTGAGTCGATTAAGCATCTGACTCTTAATTTGGCTCACGGTTCAAACCCATGGGGTTGGGATTCTCTCTCTCCTCTCTCTGTCTCTGCCCCGCCTCTGCTCATGTATGCACACATGCTTTTCCTCTCTCAAAATAAATAAAGTTAAAAAAAATCCTTTAAATGTTTAAAATAAGATGGGGGAAAAAGCCAGCAGGATGTAAAGATAGCCCCATCATTCATAAAATGCTACAAGTGTAATAAGCATTTACTAGAGATAAAAACAAAACCAAAAGGTAACTTAGGACGAGTTTTCAAAATCCCGACGATGCCAAAAGAGACGACATAAAACAGTAGGACGTGACAAATGGGTAAAAAAAAAAAAAAAAAAAAAAAATCAAAAGGAGAAAGTGAATTTTAAGTAGTCTGGTCTCTAGACAGAGTGGTTTCAGGCAAAGCAGGCTTTGAATCCATCCTGCCTATAGAAGGCTCATTACTGGAAAGAAAGCTCTTTCTTAGAAGAGAAACTTCTTCCTAGAAAAGCAATTTACTACTTGAGCCTCATGCAAAGAATACAGAACATCACCATGAATATCAGCATCGGCCATCGGCTGTAGACAAATGCAGAAAGATTTTCATGACTGTTGTTCTGGGAGAATAAAAGCCAAGGGCATGCTATGCATGCCACCTCGATGCACCTGTTAATCGAGAGGCCAGCTTTCCAGAAGAACCAACAGAAGCATTCACTGCCCCCCCCCCCCAACCTCCCTTTTAGATCCCAAAGCAGGACATGTGCCCCTGGGGGTGTGGATTACTAGGACACCTGTCTTCCCTCAACTGTGATTAAGCTCACCGCCCCCCCCCCCATTCCCAAACCGACACCCTTCCAGCGGCAGGGGGACTGCGTGTGGAAACAAAAGGGATATTCTCATTGTAATTTCCCGCCTCTGCTGTCACCAGGGGCCAGCCTGCGGGGGAGTGTGTGCGTGTGCACCCGACTGCGAGCGCTGCTAATCACGTCCACGTGGGGAAGTCTGACATCTGGATCCCCCGGCTGTGCTGTCGGCCCCGGCACCATGTTTTGCGAATCATCTAAGCACAACACCATAAAGGAAAACACTTGTTCACGTGGCATTCTCGTGCATACGCAAGAAGAGGGGCTGACGGAAAGGGCAGAAACCACAGAAAAGGTTTTCAAAGAAATCATGCAATGTGTACACATATCCAATCACGGTATACACCTAAAACTCACACAGTGCGATATGCCAATTGTACTTGGATAAGAGAAAATAACCACACTGCGCTGAAGTCCGCGCCTCCCTGGCACCGAGGGGGAACAAGCGGGCAGGGGCCCGGGGGTCAGGCAGGAGCCCTCGCTGGGGAAGGGCTCGGCTTTCAGACTTGCCCTTGTGTCCTCCACACTGAGGAAGAGGGATTGGGTCTGGGCTTTAGCACCATTAGACCAGTGTTTCCTAAACCTCTGATAAAATTAGCTGGGGCACTTAATAAAAATACAAGATCCCCGGGGCGCCTGGATGGCTCAGTCGGTTGAGCATCTGACTTCAGCTCAGGTCATGATCTTGCAGTCCATGAGTTCAATACCCGCGTCGGGCTCTATGCTGACAGCTCAGAGCCTGGAGCCTGCTTCAGATTCTGTGTCTCTCTCTCTCTGACCCTCCCCCGTTCATGCTCTGTCTCTGTCTCAAAAATAAATACACATTAAAAAAAAAAAAACCAAGATCTTGAGCCCCAACCTACCCCACTCCCCACCACCCAGAAACCTGGCTCTAGAGGGAGGAGCTAGGCAGGTCTATTTCTTTTTTAAGTTTATTTATTTTGAGAGAGAGAGAGAGAATGAACAGGGGAGAGGCAGCCGGGGGATTGGGGACAGGGTGAGTGGGAGGGGACAGAGAATCCCAAGCAGACTCTGTGCTCTCAGAGCAGAACCCAATGCCAGGCTCAAACTCAGGAACTGTGAGATCATGACCGGAGCCCAAATCAAGAGCTGGGCGCTCAACCGACTGAGCCACCCAGGCGCTCCTGGGTAGCTCTGTTTTTAACAAGAGCTCCAGGTGATTTTTACCCCCAAAGAAAATGGGGAGATACGCACATCAGACATAGCAGGTGATCTAGATAAAAAGATGAAAAAAGTGACCCCACAGCTGGCATCTCTCCAACAGAAAGACACAGCTAACTTTGAATGACACGGAATGACTCGAACACTTCCTCCCTCAGCCTGAGGGGGACTACGGTGACACCAAGAACAGGAACTTGGGGTGCAAAGGGTGGGGAGATGCACGGTGAGGCAGGAGTGCTCTGGGCAGAGACGGGGGTGCAGCTTGTGTGGCCAAGCAGTGATCTCCTGCAAGCACCCTGTGTCCCTGAGGCCTGCAAGAGAGGGGAAGTGAGGAGAGCAAAGCGAACAGAGGCGGGGTGGGAGGGACAGACAGACAGGAGACGGGAGAGCTCCTGACCAGGGATAAGCAGAGGAGAGTCATGTGCGTGGCGTGACTCAGGCCAAGGTGAACACACGGACAGGAAGACGCCCCAACTCCACATCTGCCCGCTCAGCTCTGGGGATGGGCCACAGCCGTCGCGGGTCACTCTGGGGGCCCCACCCAGAACCCCAAGCGTGTCGGAAACGCACAGCGGACCCAGCTGGCCACGCCCTCAGTGGCCGCAGCCCGGCTCGCCGTGGTCAGGTCTCTGCAGGGCAGAGCGGGGAGAGCCCAGGACCTGCCTTCCTCAGTCCTGGGAAAGCCAGCCGGCCTGGTAGCAGCTTTACACCCAGGAAACTACCCACGATACTGAGATTTCCACGAGAATAACCAAGCCTGAGGCCAGTGGGCAGTTCCATTTAATTCTTCTAAAATTCAAAAATCTAATGGTATTTTTAAAACCCGGGGGGGGGGGGGCCAGGGAAGGATTGAAAAAAAAAGCCAGCAGTTAACATTAATGACTACTTACCATCTGCTGGTTTTGACATGTGACCTCTCCTTTAGGAGCACAGCAATTCTCTGGCTGGGGTGGGGGTGGGGGGCAGTGCACAGGTGGGGAAATGGGGGCTGAGAGAGGCCAAGGACCTGCCTTGGGCTACACTGTAAGCGGCAGACCTGAGATTTGAAGTCGGCTCTAAGTAACACGGTCACCCTCCCTCTTAATCATTATGCCACACTCTCTAAAATAATAGCTGTCTGCAAGAGGCAGCTTGTTTTTTACTTTTTTTTTTTTTTTAATGTTTATTTATTATTGAGAGACAGAGAGACAGAGCACGAGCATGGGAGGGACAGAGACAGGAGGAGACACCGAATCCAAAGCGGGCTCCAGGCTCCGAGCTCGCAGCACAGAGCCTGACGCGGGGCTTGAACTCACAAACTGTGAGATCAAGACCTGAGTTGAATTGGACGCTTAACCGACTGAGCCACCCAGGCACCCCTGCAAGAGGCAGCTTTTGATGTGGTTCCCAACCATCCCCACCTCCTGGTAATCATGCCTTTATGTAAGCCCCTTCCCTTGAGCACAGGACAGTGGGGGTGGGGGGAGGGAGGGTAACCTGTGACTTGCTTTTAACCAAAAGAATATGGCAAAGGTGATGGGACATCATTGTGCAAGCAAGCTACGTAGGATCGTAGCTTCTGTCTTGCTAGCAGATTCTCTGGACTCTCTTGATGGCATTGGTGAAGCAAGTCGCCATGCTGGGGAGACCCCC